CTGGCGGCCCCTCCTCACCCCCCAAACCATGGATCCTGGCCCCAGCTACCCCTGTCTTTCCCTTGTCTTCCCTGTCGTTGCTGGGTTGGGCTTTGAGCTTGGTGGCCTGTGCTGCCATAAGCGAGTGGGTCGCAAATTGCGAGACCCGTCCGGGCGCGACGCAGGACGGGCAGGGATACGAGCATTTCCACAGGCCGTCGCTTCCCAATCTCTGAACCTCTTTGATGACCATGTACCTAAAGTCTCTTCTTCGTAGACAACAACGTGTTTCAGCGAACGGGTTCATTAGCCTGACTATCGGTCTTTCCTGCCTCGTTCAGGCACGCACACGCCCGCACTGTGATTATTTCCCTCCACCTGAGTATGGTATAAGGGCAAAGAGACAAGATCAGATTGACACCGACTCCAGGCCGCGTTAGGGGTGCGCTGCGACAGAGAGAGGGATGGAGCATGGTCGGAAAAGGGGGAGTGGACGTGACCGAGAGAGTCTTCATCAGCCGTTGGCTGCCCCCTTCCTCGCGAAACAGAACTACTACATGTACCTATCTCTGCGTAGATTGGCAAGTGCATCCTCAGGTACCGGTTCGTTGTGGCGGAATGCAGAGGTTGTGTACTGAATACCCTTTTCGGTCAATCTCTCCAGGTACTTAGGTCTCGCCATGTGTTGTCCCTCTCTACCTACCTCTACCTGCCTACCGCTGCTCTTGTCTTAAACAGGTAGTGAACTTCAGAACCTCATGCCACACACACCATCCGTCGCCGATATGGTGTGTCGTCCATCCATATCGTATGCCGCCCGGCCGCCTCGCGTGATGTCTGCGGCAAGCGACGTCACCCTGCTTTAATGACATGAAGTGCGTTGTGAACGGGCTCCATTCTTGTGCATTAACCACTGCCCTGGCCTTACCTGTGACCTCAGGCTGGCCCGGCGAAAAGACGCTACAGCGGCAATGCTCAGGCAGCCCGAGCCTGGCCAGGCCACATGCTGATGCAGGGCCTCCACCATCCACAGCCGAACAAAGCTTGGCTGCACAAATCGACGAGCACTAAAATCGCTTCAGTGGGAGGCGGCAAAGGGGCGGAGGGGACCCGCTGATGCGAGCGAAACGTGCACTGTATAAACGCACCGTACAGCAGGTTAGCGAGCCTCTGCCGGCGACGTGACCACTGGTGAAGTACCGGCATGTCATGTCAAACATGCGAATCAACGAAGCTTTGGGAACACCTCAAGCCAAGAGCAGCACACCTCTGTCGATTGTCCAGGTCTCCTCCGTCTAACATTGATCATCAGTATTCAGCCGAGAAAAACTCAAACGAGCCCGTCTCGAGGCTGGAGAATATCTCCGAGCAATCGAGAGCGAGCGCTGTCGGCCACGACCGTGCCGTCATCTCACCAACCTGTTGCCAGAGAGCACCTCCCTCCCTCCCTCCCGTTGGTCGGTTCCTGCGGTGACCTGCTGTCTACGAGTTGATAGGGTGAAGGGCGGAATTTGTCGAACCGCTAGGGGCTAGTCGCATTCTCTCCATCGCCATGTGACCCAAAGTGTGGGCGAGCTTTTGGTGAACATGCTAGTTCTACTGTTCCATCCACCCACCCTGACCAGACCGCCCCCCCCCGAGACAACGAAACAAGAGCCGTGCTGCAGTCCAGGTTGGGGGATTTCAACCGGCCGCGAGTCCTTTGTGCCGAGCCCTATCAATCTCTGGGTTGCCGATCACCTGCGCGGCTTGTCTGTACCCGGAATAGCACGGAGAGGAGGGGGTTCTCTCCAATACCGTAGGCACTTGTCCGTACCTTGGGTGCTTCTGTGCTTGTGTATCACGATCAACGCTGATGTGCGCCGGAGGTGTTCATGGACTGACCTACCACGTCCGCTCACCAAGACGGGTGGCCGAACGTTGAACGGGCAATGTCAGCTCCCAGCGCTACCGGCCCACCCTCTGCACAGTAGGTACAGCATCGAAACCGAGATTCGCTAGCGCTCGAAACCTTGACAGCCTGGGCAAAAATGCGAAATGCTGCTGGCCCTTGCTGGTCGACTGGGCCCTCGCTGACGAAAAAGCAATCAATCGAGATCCACTCGTCTGGCATTTGCAATCCATGCCTGGCGCCCCATCATCCTGGGCCTCCACCCACCCACCCTAGCTGCCGCTCAGGGTCTGACCCTTGAACACGCGAGGTCCCCCCCCCCCTTCTAGGGCGCGTGTGAGGGCCGTAAGGACAAGACGGGGATCACGGAGATTCTCAGGAGCAAACCGATATTTCGCAGATCATATTTGCATCTCGGTCTCCCAGAAGACCAAGCCCCCGTCGCCATCTGACAGAGACGTCCTCAGCGAGATGAAGGGCCGTTTTCCGAATATAACTGACGTTGGCCCTTGTCGCAGCCGCCACTTCTAGACCCAACCTGTGACACACCAAGAAAGAGAGTGGGAAATGTCCCATCTCAAACAATGTCTCCTAGCTTGCCACTAATTATAAGGGCCTGGACGGTAAGGTGAAATTATTACGGACCCTTCCGAGCTAACGACCTGCAGAGATGCGCGATGGGCGCCAGGACAGGGCCGAGCCAAGCACTCAATTTCGACAGCTGGATCGTCCAAGTTCCCACCGTGCCCGACTATTGGACCTTCGTCGCCCTCCCGAGAGCCGCTCTGCCGCTCCATCGTGAAGCCGAGATTTCAGAGTCATCGGCGACAGCCAGGGATCAGGTTTGATTTTTTTTTCCTTCAGCTCTCTGTCTCGTGTCTGTCCTGCTTGCTGCACAGCAACCATCGCCACCACATCGACCACCTCCACCTGCGGGTCAATGGAGTAGGTCGACTCGATCGTATTTCAGGTCAAAGTGGTTGGTTCCTGCTTTGTCGTGATGCTGGTTCAGCCTAGGCTTCCTGCCTGCCGATGTGGCACCAAAGTCAATACAAATGGCGCGTGACGCGCATCCCATCCCACCTCGGGGTGCCTTTGGAGGGGTAAATTATCGTCGCAGCATAAAGCGCATGAAGCAGCCGTCGATCTTGAAAAAAGTCAACTCGAGCGCCCATTCTGGGCTATGGGCTCCAGCCAACACACAGGGTATGGGAGGGAATGCCCTAGCCGCATGTAATCATCGACAGTCATCGACCTCCTCGAGTCAGTGACACCGACACGCATCGACAATGCTGTGCTGGGATCTCTATGGCGCGCGATCTGCTGCATTCTGGATGTGGCGGCTGGCCGGGCTGGCCCCAGGGTGCACGTTGGGCTGCCGCTGTGTTTTTTTCCACTGAGGTCGTGATGCTTTGCTTGCTACCCACCAACTGGCTACAAGGAAGCGCCCAGGAAGGCGTATGCTAGACGCCAACACACGGGTTCCGCTGTTGCCCTTCGCCACACAACGAAGCATCTCACCATAATGCGCTTGCCGCCTGGACGTCCCAAACTGGAGGGCCCGGGTTGCGCGTGCGCCGCCCGATGCCTGTTCTGCCTTGCCCTTTCCTGGCGCCTCCAGATATGGATTTACTCCCTCACCCCTCCTCCTTCCCTGTTTCTTGGGGGCTGCGGGCGGTGAAGGCGCCTTTGGGGGAAGCAGGCACCATCGACATGGAGCCAGGAAGGACCAGGATGGTCAAGAATATGTAGACTGCAACCCACGAACTGCTCCTGCCATGGTGTGATGGGCAGCATCTTCCCTGGGGAAGGAACCACCACCCCCACCATGTCGTAATGATCTCAACCCCTCCATCGCATTGCGTCTTGCGCGTCCGTCTGCCGTCACGTTGTCAGTCTGACCAGCTGCCACCCCTCATCTATTCACATATGCTAACAGCCAGCTTTGTTGTCCAATGTTCCACAGCCTGCCCGAACATGCCAAGGCGACGACCTCATCCATCGGCAACATGACTGGTCATCGTGTGCTCAACCTTCTGCCGCCCTTGGCCCTTGGTGTCCCATCCCGCCATGCGTCTTGCACAGTTGCAGTCTTACGACAGATCTAGACATCGAGATACACACCTACTCGGAATCGCGCGATCGCATGGGGTCCATGGAACAAGGCCAGGCCTGGATATTGACCGTCAGATGAAACTTGCCCACATCCCACGGCCGTGTTCACCAGAAGTCGGCGTCAGAGTATGAGTGGCGGCGTGTGGAACGGTGTAGACACCAACATTGAGAAGCCAACATCCAGAGCATGACCTCCAATCGTCTTGCCAACATGACTCGCGCCCACCACATGGCATGGACCATTGTATCTCGTCATCCCACCCTCCATCATTGCAGCTCATCACTGCGCGCAAGCTTGCCGCAGCCATTCAGCCCACTCGCTGGTGGACAGCAGATCCTCGGCCTCCGGATCATTGCCAGTCGCAGCCAGAAAGGGCGGTCATGCGTGCAGCATGATTCTGTAGGCCTGCGCCCCACTCCATGTACCACTACTACATGTACGCTTTCACGACCTCGGGCTTTTCGAGGCTTCGCGCCATCGCAGATGTCAACCTTGACAGTCGTCTGCCCATCCATCCGCCTCTTCCGACTTACAATATGCAGCCAGCCCGAAGCAGCCCTCCGCCGTACACGGCTGTTGTCCTTGACACCCACTTAGCTCGGAGGACTTGGCCGTCATATCATCTTACTCTTGAATGACAGTTCACTCGCAGTATCTGGCGCCGCCAGCTCTTTTCGAGCATATTGGATCGAGCCAACCATGGCTGCGTGGTACATTTACCTTGCTGACTTGCGATTGGTTGCCACCCCTTTGTCGCCCGATAAGAGACGTCCTTCTCACGCAGGACTACCTTACCTACCTAGGTAACCTGGGTACGTTGAGTACATGGACCAAATTCCGAGGAATTTCCTTTTTCTACCAGTCGGTCGTAGTAGCCATACTTGAAGGGGAATCTTGAGGCAGGTGTTAACAGTGCCAGGTGATTTCTCCGATTATCCAGCTGCACCGAATGGTTTTTCCATTCTGCTTGTCGATGTGTATATTGGTTGAGTCTTGCTGGCTGCTACGTAGTATCTTTCTTGCTCGTACATTTATTGTATTCTTGTATGTGATTGGATGTCCATTCGCATTCAGACTCCCGGCTGGCTTGATCTTGTTTTGATCTGGATCTGTCGTCGTCTGAGGTTCTGGGGCACAATTTTTGTTCGCCGACATGGAACAAATAGTCTATTCATATCACGGTCGACTCAGTATCATCTTCGCTAGGCACTGAAATCAGCCTTCAAACCTGAAATCGTCATGAGACAGGTTCGTCCCATGCGTAGACCCTGGATAAAGCCAGACCTGAGGCTGACAATGACTCGTGGGCAGATCTAACGTCGTCATAGGCCTGACGGTAATGCATTTAAGCCGCATAATGTACCCCAGGATATGTTGCTAAGTGTCGGCATCGATCCCCTGTCTATAGCATACGCAACGCGCTACCCCTGAGTGCCTTCATCCAAGAGCCCGGCTTTGAGACTGTCTTCTGAACACTGAAGAGAGTCTGCAAGTCGGCACATGATGGAGAAAGCAGGGTTGCATGCCGCTCGGGGTCCGATTTATGCCGCCTTCGGCTGTGGCGGCGTCTCCGGGCCCTTGTGCGCATTGATCAGGGTCTCTTGGTCAACATAGGAGGGGAACGATCTATCTGATTTCCAGGCTGGTCATCAAGCCTGAAGTCCAGCTCCAGTCATTACCGAGGTGAAGCAGTTACCAATCTATTTGCAAAAGAGACAGGCTTGCAAGTCCAATGGCTGGCGCCACCGCGTAGTTCTTGTCCTGTTGAACATGCTGGTTGCATCTCTTGGAGGGGCATGGCGAACGTCTTCGCCCCTTCCGAGTGACTTCAGGGTATGTTCCCCTCGACGGCGAGGCAGGGGTTGATACAAATCGAGTTACCTTCGTTCTACCAAGTAAACTTGCAACGTTGTAACCTTTACTTGCGGCCGAGTTTCCAGTCGAACTTGGCAACCCGTTTTACCAAACAGTCATGAGCACTTGTACATGCTACCCTCTAGTCTGATGGGTTGTTATTCTGACTACAGCTCTTTCAAGCTGATTCTTTTCAATTGTAAGTATGCGATCAACTCAAGATCGTCATTCGTATTGGTTTTAATCATATCGCTCATTGCTAAGTGGGTTTTCGTGGCAAGAACATCATGCGGTGATGCCTTGTATCAATCTTGCTGGCGATCTAGGTGTCTTCTTTTCTTTCGTTCTGCTATTGATAACCGGCTGAGCAGGTTCCTTACCAGCGAACATTGTTGTCGACGACAAACGCTGTTTCCATCAAGAGCTAACTCGTATGGATCGATCAAGCAATGGTCACTATTTGGAGAATGTCAATGGCCCGAATACTCCCCGCCTTCGATATTGTTAGACCGTTCATTCACTATAGGGATTGGGATGTCTACAGGTCATCGGATGATATGATACCGAGGAGTGAATATGCGAATGGCAATGGCCTGTCCATTCAACAATATGGTCATCTGCCAGTGCGTGGAAATTGTCATTTATACCCTACGGCTAGCAGATCTCCTCTTGAACTCAAAGCTTGCAATCTTACTTCTCCCTCAAGTGACATGATGTCTAACTCACAGCTCTCGCCATCAGTATTCCTCCGTAAATGACCATACATCATCGTGAAAGCATAGCCTACATAGCAGCCACGCTCCTGCTCAGTAGCACTTGCCCACACGCTCAGCGATTCGGTTCCGAACTCATGTTCTCAGCCCCAGTTCCGCTTATCACGGCTTCTCTACCACACAGGTTTCCCGGTTAGCCGTCTTCTTTTCCATTTCTAATGCTTCTCAACCCAAAGACTCCGAGTCACCTACAAGTTTGCGTCTTCATCATTTTTCATCTTTGCCTTCGGAATTTACAATGACTCTTCCTGACTCTGGCATATTGACAACCTCCTTCCTACAGCCCAGAATCGTCCACGAAGTTCACGAGTGCGATCGAAAAAATACTAACATCGCCTTTGACCTCACCATCGGTAATTTTCTAACTCTAATTAATCTTACCGCCTCGCAATACTGTGGGCTGGTAGCCAAGTACGCAGGTCCAGAGCCTCAACTTTCACACACGCCGCCTTTCCTAGCCCACACTACACGTTAGTGCACCAGTTTACGATCCGATTCGCAACTCGTTATCTGGTATCCGCTAAGTAGCAGATTCATCAAAGCTATATCCTTCGCTGAGCGCCATGGCCGAGATCACTGCTCAATTCAAGCGCGCCAGGGGCTTCTCGCCCAATGTGTTGCTCGTAACTCCGACCCACGCCGAGGCTCTTGACGAACAGGAGTTCTTGCGATTCCAGGCGAAGATGGTCACCAATGCTATATTCGGAAGGGATGAGATGGTTGTCTTTTCGGGTCAACCCATGAAGAAAGATTGGGATATGATGCGAGGTGAAGGTCGTAAATCGCAGAAGGAGGAAACGAAGCGAATGGCAAGTTACAATGCCCATCAAGTCAATACATAGCTAACGTCTACAGACCTACATGCCCCCGGATTCGAAAAGAAGTCGTACCGCTGAACGGCTCTTCGCTATCATTGTGGACAGTCTGCTTCCGCAACTCACCTATAGTGGTGTCAAGATGCTAGCCTCCGTGTCTCGCAGCATGCGGGCCACTTTCCTCGGGCGAGTGGTAAGTCTTTCCAATATGTCTGCAGGCGAATACAACGTTGACATGCACATATAGCGGGCCTGGAACCTCAATGACCCAGACACCATGGGCTTCTGCGACTGGGATCCCGAGTTGCTGGACGTCATGTTTCACGATGGCATACAACCTGAAATTTTGGCCCCTGGAGCGTATCTGACAATCAGTGGTCGTGGGCCTTGGTCGACCTGCGACGTGCTCTACTACCCGGACGAGTATGACCCCGCATGGACTGCTTCTCAGATCGAGGATACATGGCCTCAGGGTCAAGGGCGGCGCATGGCTCTGGAAGCAGTCAAGCTCGCCGACTTGGGTTTCTGGGATAACCAGAGCCTCGACCAAGTGCCTCGAGATCTCGACTTTGTGAGAGTCAAGGAAAAATGGCAATTGGCGATGGAGAAAGTGCAGAGCGTCAGCGAAGAGAACAGACGCAGCCAGCGAAAATACTTTGCGCAGCTCTCTCATCTTTCCGGCATGAGTAAGTTCTTTCTCCTTTGATCAGGATTTGACCAATGGCTCATGATTACATAGTTCGTGGTCTCGCACAGCACGGTAGCCATGTCCGTCATCTCGAGTTGAGTCACGTTCCATACCTGGACCTGAAGCTCACTGGAGCTATCATCGAGATGCTACCGCAGCTTGAGGTCCTGACCATCAACGCCTGTGACCTCATGCATCTAGGATGTCTCATCCCCCTCCTCGATTACATCAACTGGATCGCATGTCGACGGGATGCGGAGTATATCCAACTGGACTTCTTCCCCAAAGCTTGGTTTGGGCCAGCACAGGGCCGAGAGTGCACCAGGATCCTGACCTGGGGTCCGACAGCATTAAACACCCGCAAGGCAGTCATGTGCACCATCATAACCGCTGCCATGAAGTCTTCTGAGATGGGGCACGACCTGCTGGCTGAAGACTCGCTCCTCTTCAAGTATCTCGCTCTGGTGCCGATGGATTTTGGGCTTATGCACGTCTTCATCCGGAATGTCAAGGCTTACATTTACGAACTTCAGCACAAAAAAAAGTTCAGGACGGAAACTGACGATGCAAGGGTCATGAATCTTGAGCACCAGATTCTAGCCGCTCTGACAACCGGTGACCGCCGACAGATTCAAACCGACATGGTGATGGCCTTGATGCTGCAGAAATGGACATGCTCGAAATGTGAGCATGTATTTGCCTTGCCGTGCTACGAGACCATGATGCAATCATGGCCAGCACATCAAAGACGTTGTTATCCATGCCGCCTCACTGAAGCCATCGAGCGTGAATCTTTTCACCACTGGCAAGGTGAAAAGCGGAACATCGCATTGAACTTGACCTCGACCCCAGCTGCAGCCGAGTACGAAGCACCTATGAAAGCGCAAATGATCGCCCCTTTGCTCAAAAATGAATTCGTCGCTGGCCCTGACGACAGCACCGTTCGCACCCGGCCCGATTCCTGGATCGCGACTCTGGGAAGCGAGAAGCTACGAACTCTTCACAAGAATAAGTCTGCCTGGAGCTACGCCGGTTACCTTGCCCGCACCCTAGACGCGAAGAACATGTTCGCGGAGGCTTTGGGCATGCACCTGGACGGAGACTACGTGTCCAACCGCGCAAGCGAAGGGCAGCTTACCGGCCCCAGGCAGCCAGTGCAGCCTTTCAGGGAGCACATCGATCGCCAGTCCTGGGAGAGCCTCTACGCCTACAATATCCAGACCGAAAAGGTAAAAAAAGAGGCCAAGGCGCGTGAGTTTTGGTAATAATTTTGGCCCGAGGAGCTATCCTTGTCATTCAAGATTCGCACATCTCATTCATCAAGCATCTGAGTCCATCCGATGGCTTTGCACGAGATACGACGTGGCCGGTTCGTTTTCGCTTCGTAGCCTTTTCTGGACACCAGAACTTTTTGGAGATCCTTTACGTCGTCACAAAGCTTCTTACTGACTTCAAGCTCTACCTTCCAGCTTGAGACACTCAAGGTAACACAAAACGATAACATACATCCGCTAACCAAAGGAAGGTGTTGGGTAGCGGTGCTTTCATTAGTCGGCGTTGGCGTATGGCGTTTTGATGCTTCATGCTTTGGTCTGTCTTTTGAACCTACCGCAAACAATGACTCACAACAAGCGCTTCCAGGCTCTCTTGTCTTCTGCGTCATAACAACCTGGCGTTTAGGCATGCGCACCGTTGATACGGGCCTGACCTACCTTTCATTACGATTCTGACACCCCTCAAGCAACTTCGGCATTCCGGAACTCTTGAATATATCTATGCAGGCTGCGGATTTGCAGCCGCTACATTATACCAACTCGCTAGGTTGCAGATGAGGAGGTAGTCAGCGGTGCTCGACCTGGGGAAGTTAGATAGCTATGATCAATGAATGCAGACCTTCGCAGATTGAATATATCAATTTTCCCAGACGGCGCTCAACCTTCTTTATACATGAAATGCCAAAAAGATGTGATCAGGCTAATACATGTAACATTACAGTATAATACAGACTTCTTTCAACATGCTCATGCGCCAGTAGCCATCCATCTCAGCGTAAAATCATCTTCCCCAAATCGTGAACGATGTCCAAAGGCGGAACACCACAGTTGTTACTTCTTCTCAGGCTCAGCCTGGCCCTCAGCAGTGCTGCCGGTAGCGGCGGCCTGTCCAGGGCCCTCGGCCGAGAGCCCGACGACGTTTCTCAACGTGCCGAATGTTAGGCAGTCGCTGATGCGGTTGGCGCCCGAGAACAGCATGACCAGCCTGTCGACGCCGCAGCCCCAGCCGCCGGTGGGCGGCAGGCCGGCCTCCATGGCCTTGATGTAGCTCTTGTCCAGCGGCGCAGCCTCCATGTCGGCATCGAGCTCACCATCGTCCTCGCCGGGTTTCTGCCCTGCCAGGACGCGGTGCTCGGCGAGCTTGCGCGCCTGGGCGGCCGGGTCGTTCTCCTCCTCGTACATGTTGGCCAGTTCACGGCCGTCGACGAAGAGCTCGGCGCGCGCCGAGACGAGCTGGCCGGTGGTTGGGCACTGGAAGCTCTTGGCGAGGGGCGACATGCAGGCCGGGTGGTGGGTGATGAAGG